TTATTAAGTAAAGGATCTGAATCCAACACTGAACATATTAGAATAATTAAATATTTATTTTTAATTCTTGATTAGTGTACCCCTAAACAAACAGACCATACAATACATTTCTGGAAAGGACATATCACTACAAGATGATCCTGTGACTAAACTTTATACAGTTTATTGGATTTAAAACAAAATACTTATTATATAATTCCATCTCTATATGTCCCTTTGTGTGACTTATTTTATTCCCATTGTAATTTGTAATATGGTTACTTTACACATGAGTGCCACTGTTTCTCTAAATACAGTTCAGCTTCATTAGGTAAGATTTTAAGGTTTTATATGCCAAAGGTAAATTCCCCACTCCCATAGTATCACACACATAATGTTGTTACATTTTTGTTACTACGGTAAGCTGTTTTAGGATTATTTTCATATATTAGCCAATGAGATATAAAAAGGACAAATTTACTCCAAGATGATCTAATGAGAGAAAAAAAAAACAAGACACTTTTAAAATGGTATTACCTCTGTGTATGTTTCTGTATAAATTATGTTAATTTACCTAACATGATCACTACTTTTATGGGTAATTTTCTGATAAGAAACATGCCGCGCCACTATTCACCACAATTAATGTAGCAGAGCGTCTATTCTTCTGCACACATTTGTCAGGGATTCTCCTGTTTAATTTCTCACTCCGCACCGAGGCACGTCCATGTAATTACGTGTCAATGAGCAATTAAAGCATCAATTAGAGTTCGTTAAGCAGGAAGCATATCATGGAGAAATGATTATGCACAATGGTCACATGAGAGTGTTGTGTTGGGCTTGCATAAGATGTCAATAAGTTGATCTACTATCTATCTATCTATCTTCTGATCTATCTTCTATTCGTATCCTATCTTAGCTCGTATTATCCTTAATCTATCCCTCATCTAGTCGTTCCCGTTCTATCTATCTATCTAATCATCACATCCACTGATTGTGTGACTTCCTCTCTCCATCTTCAGTTCCCCTTCAGCCCCCTGATCCCTTTTCCATGCTCTTACCATCTCTGTCTTTTCTAATCATTCTTTTAAGTGCCTCTGTAAAACTCAGCTTTCAATTACTCTGTTTTCTACCTTTCCTCAATCCAACCTCCATATGCATCCTCCATCCCAGCGACCTCCCTCCCTTCATTCCTCTTCCTTTGTGTGCTCTTTAGAGTGCTGGTGGACAACTACATCTCCATCATTCAGTTTCTCTCTCCTCCTCTTCATCCCCCTCTCTGTTGGTTGGAGTGGTGCTACATGACAATCCAATATCCACCCGTCTCAGCCTCTTACAACTCACCCTCTTCCTCTGTGTTTCCTGCTTTTACTCCATCTATCCACCTTTCTGTTTCCTTCCACCCTTATCTCTGTGCTGCTGCAGTAAAATCACCATTAAAGTGTAATAAAATATAGAGATATGAGTTCATAATTATTAGATTTGCAAATATTCACAATATCCACAATATAAAGAATGCACAGTAATACACATAAATAAAATAATTGCACACATGACGTGCATTTACAGACCTTTCAACAGATTTAGATTAGATCTTTTTACTTTAAAGTACTTTGTGCTTTTAGATAATTATTCCAAGATTGTAAGTTTCAAAAAGTAAATATAGACGTATATCTCAGGTAATACATTAATGAGCAGCTATTTTCCCTTTATGGCCCAGCAGAAAATATTTGTATAATAATTTTAGTAACAATTTAACATTTTGAATAGAAGGGCTCATTCAGTGCACCTTAAAGTAACTGTAATGTTCAGTTTAATGATTTTTTTGTTGTGATTATTTTTGATTTGGTTTAAAATAATAATTTAAAATAGATTGCGCACATTAAAATATATATATTAAATGATCACTGTAAATGTGTCAGTGTTGGCCAAACAGCTGATTCTCACCTGTCATCCCAACACAAATAAAAACAGAACATTTGTCACCAGTATTTCCCTACAGTAAACACAGCTTCAGTAAGCAAGATGTGTTAGATAAAAAGCATATTATCAAATCTTACAGTCTTTCACAAACATCATTTTCTTTCTATGCTGTCATAGTGTTGTTATTGAATTCAAAAGAAAGGAGCAGCAGCAAAAATCCCAGTTTATGAAAAAAAAAATGATAAAGACTAAAGAAATGTATGTCCTGACTTTAGTTAGTTTAGTAACTTTAGTTTATTGTCCTTACACAGAGAGACACTAAAGTCACTCCACATTCCCAGAGACTTAATGTTTGCTTTTTCCCTCCTGATCCAACACACCCATTTGGTTATTTTTTATTGACGTTGCTGACAAACATGAAAATTAGCTCACATTTTTTTATGGGGTACACATGGTAACACGGAGCCTAAAAATGTCCTATGTAGCGTCTGATGGCTGAGTCTAATGTTCCCTCTCTGTGGGTGTGTGAAATTCACACGTGTGAACACACCTCCTGCCCGCCCAGAAGGGAGCCATCTGACCTTTAGCTTGTGGTGGATTTAATGAAGAGACTGTCATTTGCTGTCTCTGTGACTGCATGCTCGTCTCACACATGCAGACGTTGAAAGTGGACACCCTTGATACCCTCCTTTTTGTCTGGTAGGCGGTCTGAGTGTATAATTTCTGTCAGTATTAATGAGACAGTTACTTGGACGATCGCAATGCCAACCAAACCAATATGACTGACTGGTCTAGGGCCCTGATGAATCCAATATGCACTTTGGTATGCGTTGCCAAATGGGAAAAAGAAGACACCAGTGACATCCAGTGGCCAAGTAATACAGTGCTTTTACTTGTTACTGTAATACTCGGTCCATTCAGGAAAGGCAGGGAAAAGTGAGGCGAAGATATTGTCCTGTCTACCAAATATTTAGTAACATAATTTGCTGGTTTTCTTTTTCTTTTTTTCATCTTAGAAATGATTCCAGTGCAGGTAAATAAAGCCCCACATATTTAACGGTAACAGTACTCAGATCTTTTACTTATAGGCTAAGAACAACTAACAATACCGCAGTGTAGAAATTCTCTGTTACAGGTAAAAGTGCATGAAAACGTTTACTAAATAGAAATTTACTACAAGTACAAATGTTTTAGTAATTCATTTGTTACATTTTGTTTTACTGTTATATTATTAATCTGAATGTGGCAGTATAAAAATGACTATATTTGATATGTTTGTTTAATCATGTTTATTATCCTTTCAAAGTTAAGAGATAGAAACATTTATAAAGAAAAAATATTGTGGCGTAATATTGTCTGTACCTGTTGCTATCCCAGCCTCTCTGTGCTTTGTTTACAGAGCCAGTATGGCCGCATGTGCATCCTTCAGTTTCCACCTGAGGAGAGCGACTGAAACTGTTTTTCCTATCTGCATTAAGGATTTATTTTGACCAAACCAGAGCTGGTAATTATTGGAAAAACTAACAAAGATGGCTTTGATGAGTTTTATTTTGATGCAGCCATCACTGGAGCCCTTTTCAGCAATATTTATTTCAACTAATCCAGCGTTGGTTATTATTGCAAAGACTTTGGAAAGATGGTATTTATAATGAGTTTTATTTAGTTTCTATATTGATGCTCTAGTAGAGTGACATCTAGTGGCAAGTGAATTTCATACATACATATTCTTTAAGTTCAATTATTCAGAATCTTTAAATGCAACCTCTACCAATTTCAGTTACCAAGGTACCATAAATGTAACAGACGGGATGATGAGATAACAATAGAAGGTATGTTTGGAGTTAAACATTGCAAGAAAAGTGTAACATTTGGATAGGTCATAAAGTAACAGTGAAACAATACCTCTGAGAGAAGCTGTTCGAGTGGTAGCAGAAAAGAACGAGCTGGGCCCATGGGAATACTAGAGAAGGTTGCTAATTTGCAATAGTCAGAAAGGTCAGGACAGATAGTAATGTAGAGAGACACACTGGCTAGAGAAAGTAACAACAGGACAGAGAGACGAGATAAGACACTTTAAGGTATGAAAATGATGAAGGACATCTCTCTCTCTCTCTCTCTCTCTCTCTCTGTGTGTGTTTATGATGTATATGTGGATATATCTTAATATATATAGGTGTACATGCTGACATACATATTCATGTACACAAAGCTGTATTTACAGTATATACCAGCATCTATACATAGAGATCAGTTTTAGATACATTAATAAAAATCACATCTCTCCATCTCCCAACATCTGTTTTGTTTAATCAAAACCTTTGTACAAATATAGGCATCAACTGAAGCAAATGTCTTCACAAATTCAAAAGTAAAATTCTGAATGTTTAAACATTTGAAAATCCCTCTTTAAGTTTCACTTCTGTCAGGGAAATGTTAACTTGCACCATAGATGCAGCTACAAACTTAAAATTTTGTAAATCTGCTACCTTATCAGAGCATTCAACTAAAAAAATGAATAATGCAAAGAATGATTGGTGCACACGCACACACACACACACACACAGCCTTATTGAAAATGCCGCATAACAGCAGTACACATTACAAATGTTCACAGTGATTCAAAGCAACAAGCTGCAGTTGAAGTGTGTAGGGGGTGTGAGTGAGCAGCAGTGCTGCAGACTGCTCTGACTGAATCCTTCTCCCATCGTCAGGTTCCATGGCTCATACACTGTCACGCTGCAAATGAAACACACACACTGAATCACAGTATCTCTTCTCATCAACTATAATTATGTTGATGTATTTATAACTGCACAGAAAAAAACTATCCAAGCAGTTGAGTCAGTGGTGCTGGGTAAATACACGGCACCAACGCTTTCTCATAGGTTGTCAACTACTGACGCCGGTTTGTCACAGTCCTTGCTGTCTCACACAGAAGCACAAGGTACCCTTTAATCTGTATGAGACACCTTTTTAACATGTGGTTGTGGAAATGGTTGCCGTTTTATTAGGTTTAGGCAACAAAGCTGCTTGGTAAGGTTTCGAAAAAACGTCATGATTTGGGTGAAAACAAATATTACAATGACAAGTAATGTGACACAAGTAACGTTATGAAAACAAGGCATGGACTCCTGTGTTTGTCTGACCCATCCATCCACCCTAACCACTAATTTCCGAGGTCATGCACAACCAACGGTCCAAACAGACATCATGAGAACGCATGGTTAAAAGCCAGTATATGTCCGGCCTTAGATGACAGCCTGCTGCGTCTTAAACTGACACTAAAGGGCACCTCGTGGGTAGTGCATGGAGATGCTGAGGGGCATGACAAAATATTGCTATGTGATGCCCTGAGAATGAGAAAACAGTTACACACACACACACACACACACACACACACATAAACACACACACACCTGTTGTATAGTTGTATGCAGCAGGTGACCAGTTCTGAGCTGCTGGTCACATTGGTGTTGCTGAACTGGGTGCTCAGGAAATGTGGGCACTGAAGATCAGGGATGTACAACATACCTAGAAACCCACAGAGCATCATAGTATGAAAATCAAAATCAAAAACGTGTTTGACAACAAGTGACAAGATATACAGTATATTGTTTATATCTAATATACATTATATACATTCTTTTCATTATTTGTGTCATTTAAATACTATTTCTCATAATAATATCAGCACTTATTTAAAGGTCCAGTGTGTAACTTTTAGGAGGATCTGTTGGCAGAGATGAAATATAATATTTATAGGTATGTTTTCATCAATGTATAATCACCTGACTATAGGAATCGTTATGTTTTGTTTCCTTAGAATGAGCTATTTTTATCTACAGATGCAGCAGCTCACCTCCCATAGAGTCCGCCATGTTGAACCACCTACAGTACAACCAAACACTGGCTCTAAATAAGGACTTTCACGTTTTTCGCGTGTTTCGCAGCCACTGTTTAGTTTCTCCTACACACTTCACAGCCCGTTCTCATTCCGAGGTCATCAAATACAGATGCGAGGGGTGTTCAGTTAGTAGGAGCAAAACAGACATGGAACATGTGAAAATGTTAAAATTGGAACTAAATTGGAATATAAGTATTAGTGTAATTAATGTAGAATAACTATTAATTAATACTAAAAATATAAAAATAAAGTCATAAATAAAAGTAACATTGTAAACTAGTAAACAACAGAATGACAATTTATCAAAAACATTTTCAAATCTATAAATTTTTATGTACTGTATGAGAACGGACTGTTACACATGTTATTGAACCAGTGTGTCTAACGGATAATTCTGTGAGTTTGCATACTGACCATTAACTTTTAAATTGAAACAAATTTACAGTTTTGAGTAATGGCCTCGTTAACGTTAAAAAGGTAGAATAAGTCAGCAGTTAAAAATAAAGTTGGTGAAAGGGCAAAGTCAATATGAACATTTGTGAGAGATAGGCCAATATACTGAATATGTTTGCCACATTAGTGTGGCTGTGTTAGCTATTAATATGACATATGCGTGTGAATATTCATGTAAATGTGCTCTGCATATTGTGATTATTTGAGAATCCTGCTGTCTATGGCTGTTGTCATAAAATGAATGATGCACTACTCTATTCAAAGAGACACAAAATAGTATACATAATAGGGAAATATTTTAAATATCATATATGTTTTGTGCATGGAGGATTTACTGAATGGGCCTACCAGGCACAAAATCAGGGGTCCAAGGCATCAGGGCGGTCTAGCCATAGCCTTTGTTTAAAGTGTTCTTGTTGGAAAGTCACAGATTAAAAATCAATTAATAAATCAAAACCATGGCATGCTCTGATTATGTCTTTTGATGTTGATTATCTTCCAAAGAAATGTCCAAATGTTCAGATGTTTGTTTTTTCCCCCATCAGATTACAGCTGCACAGCATAGTGATGCCACAGTAATTCACATTTAATTCAAACACAGTAAAATTAGAAAAGCAATTTAAACCAGTTTGACAGCAGAATAGATCTGCTTTAAGAAAATAGAACCTACATCACTTTGATGGTTTCCTTTTATGTTTTGTTTAGGGTGCTGAAGTATTTATCTGTGGAGAGTGTCATTGTCTCACAACCCAACCATGGTTTATTGATGTCAGGCCTAAATTAGATATTAAATGCTTTGATGGCATCAATATAATACTCATGTGAGGAATTAAGTGTAGCAGTACAACAAAAATAATTCTATAAACTGGCTACAATGTACATGCAATTTTATGTTTCTCCGAGGTGAAATCAGGATGAGAAACCCACAGTTTGAATGAGCCCCACGATTATAAACACACTATGTGGATAAATTACAGATATATAGAGGCAAAGAAGCGTTAGCGGTCACCTGCGATACAAGCTGTCATGAAACAGGAGACGCTGCCTGCAATCAAAGCTCTGGGGCCACAACTGGAGATGTCAGTCTGTCTATCTGGAGCCATGGCTGCTGAAAAAAGAACAACAATATGTTAAAAGACAGAAACTGCAAACAAAAAGAAACAGGTACATATACTGTTGAGACAACAAAACACAACAAAAGAACAATTAATTAATTTATTATGTATGCGTACCATATATAAAGATTTTTTATTGAAAAAGATAAAAAAACAAAAAACCAACAAACTAAAAGTCACTATACAAATGTAACTATCTTAGTCGATTACAGCTGATCCTCCATCTTTGGTCTTTGTGTCAACAGGCTACTTTTTGTTTAGCGTTTTCTTTTGCTTGCAACTGTATCATCAACTGTTTTTCAGTCGTTTTAAGACTTAATACTCCTAGATTTCTTGTGCTACAAAGAGATATCATTATCATATCATATTATCATATCATATGATCATATCATATCATTTCAAAGCACATTTATCAAGGATGACTTATTCATTTGACATGTCAAAGGTACTGAAATGTATGAAGGTTCAACAAATTGTCCTTGCTTCACACATTGCCACACTGGAGTCTTTTTCTATGTAACATTATCTTTCTTTTGTAGTTTATTTTGCAACTACTACTTGCAAATCTTGACCCGTTTGGCTATTAACTTTTGTTGAGCATGGAAGGTCTCTTGCAGTGCACACTTCTTTTGACATTTGCAAAAGCACATATATTCACGCTTGGCATCTGTTATTTGATATGATTGTATGAGTGAATTCATTAAGTTTAGGAAATTTGCTGATGTTATGTGTGTTGGAGAATTAGGGCTGGATATCTGAGTTTCCTTTTGTTTTCCAGGACACAAGGCAGCCAAAGGCGTAATACGTGTAAAACCGGCCTAACCCTTTATTCAGCCCACACACTTTAACTAGCTTAAATGTAACAGATGGATTCCTCACAACTTACTCCCACTCTTGCCAGCCCAAAAAACAACAACCTGCAATCCTGTGCATTTCTACAGTCTGTGTATTGTAGAGATTGTACCTAGTACATAATTAAGGGCAGAATGAAAATGATGAAATGTTTACTCAATCATGGAAGTGAAAAGTATCACTACAAAACTTTTGCAGCATATGACACCTGCCAGCAACTTTTTGCACTTTTGTCAGTTTGGCGCTGCTCAGTGTTGCTAACAGTTCATGAGGCAGCACTCACATAACGCTCCAACCGACATCCCCAGGGAAGCAATGTTGGAAAATCCACACAAAGCGTAGGTTGCAATAGTTTCAGAGTGGACCTGAAATAGGAAAATTGTTAAGTGAAAGCAAAGATCCAAACAGACTTTCACTTTGATGCCTGTATTATACTATGTGTATCTCTACAGTTTCCTACGTCATATTTAGTCAAAAACACAGATAGATAGTATTTGGAAGGTTCCTTGTTCAGTCTGATGCAATTATTATAAGCCAATTTTACACCATACCATTACCAACCTGTATCACATTAAGACTTGGCAATACTCTGAGTCTTCTCTGATGGTGCAAATGTCCAAACTGAGTTTTACAGATAAAAGACTTCAGTGTGGTTTATCTGCAAGCCTGAGTTCAGACTCTTAAATCAAATCAGGATATGCAATGTGCCATAAATGGATGTCATAGGTCGTTCAGTTTCATTTTTTTTTAATTTCCTGGGTTGGTTTGACCAGATCAAGACAAAACATATTTTGCCACATTCCCCTGGTGGTATCTACCCATGCAGATAGGATCAGTCTCATCTGTACAGGTTTTAAGATACTTTAGCATTTACTATTACTATTTACCTCCGCTGTATTGGAGTGATGGATATCCCAAAATGTCTGTTAGTACATTTTTAAAATAGCTGCGCAGTAACATACCACCAGGAAAGAGAGCAAAATATGTCTTTTGAATTTTGGTGATCTGATCTCTAAACTAAAATTCAAACATAAACATCTCCTACTGGCTAACTGATTGTTACTACATCTTTAGAGCAGAAGATATTTAAAATTTTGGTGAAAAAATGAAAGAAAGAAGAAGAAATAACAAGAACAAAAACAACAGGGCCTCAGCAGCTACACTGCTTACACTGCTCTAATAAAAAATAATGATGAATGATAATCTAAAAAAAACAAGATGGAGAATACAAGATATGAGTGAGACTCACAGAAATATACTGTTTTAATTATCCACATATTCTGGCCCTCCTGCTTTCCGCTTCTTAATTAACTCCGACAACATCTGATAGGCCACAAACTCATTGAGAAATGTCTTTATGGCAATCAGCTCAGCAACAATGAAACTGTCCTCCCAGGAAACACCCATCATGAAGGAGAGAGGCATGAACATGTAAGAGCAGATAAGCTAAAGGAGGGACAGAAAAGGAAGAGTGAGTGCATATATGGGTCGATGTTTGAATATATTTACAGTAAGTATATGTTGGAGAGCTGGTGTACCAACGAGCGTCAAGTTGGGGTCAGTACCGTGAAGTTGAGCTGCGGACAGTCCAGCATCCCACCCAGCCAAGAGACAGCAGAATCAAGAAAGGCCAACAGTGCCAGGAAAGCGATGAGGTTGACAACAATGTTGGCCACTAAACCAATGGCGCAAGATGCACCTTGGGATGCTGCTTCCAACACGTTCGTACTCTTTCTGAAAGGAAACAGAAAATATCTTATTAAAATAGCTGTGTCATTTGCATACTGGTGTTGATGAGTTGATGACAATTGAAATATTGTGGTCGGTGCTTTGTTTACTCTTTCCTACCCTCTGTCCATTTTGAGGTCATGACTGGCTGTTACACTGGAGGTCTCCGTTTCAGGCCAGAAAGTCTTGGCAATGGCCAGGGAGGCTGGAGCAGACATTACTGATGCCGTCAACAAGTGTGTTGCCTCAACCTCAAAAGAGACGCACATGGAACAAAACATAAACGTAGTGGTCAATTATTTGATTCAACCCTTCCTAAGTCCCACCTGTTTTAGAACCTCCATCCACTTTGTCCTCCTTTGTACTTAAAATTCAACCAAATATTAAAGATGGTTAAAAGATAAAAGTAACATTTATATAGTCATATTTAGCACAGTTAGGTGATGTTAGCAAAACACTAGCTCACTAGCCAGCTCATGATTGATGTAAATTAGCTGCATATTGATATTTTTTATTTGATACTGCGTATTTGATATTTCATAAAATTCATTAATTTTAATAGACTTAATTGTGATAACCTCGGTGATAAACCTTTCTCTCCATCCACTATCTGCCTCCTCACCCCAAAGGCAATAAAGGCTCCTAAAATGGTCCCAGAGATGCTGGCAAAACCTCCTGTCATCACAGCATGGATCTCAGAGCGAGTTAGCCCACTAAGGTATGGACGAATCAAGAGAGGTGATTCTGTCTGAAAGAGAGAGATAAGGACAAAAGGGTTGATTTGAGACTAATGGATTTACAGATTAATAATAATTATTATTTCAGTGATTTGCTTGTTGTTGTTGTTTATTGTTTAAACTGTTGCTTACCTGTCCCAAGAATATATTACCAGCTGCAGCCATCGATTCTGTTGGAGATGTTCTCATGGAAACCTGCATTATGAATCCAATCTGTGGGAAATATTGTGCCATTATGCTAATTTACAATTACTTTAAGCAGTTATTATTTGTCTTTTATTGCTAATTTATTTTATTTTATTCCTTCCTGTATTTCTTGTATGAAAGGTGCTTTAAAAATAAATAATTGAAATGATAGACCTGGCATTAAATATTTGTCTTCTTCTATGCATTTTATCATCCCACTTTCTCACCTTGCAAATGAGCCAGGACATGAAGCCAATGTAGTAGAGGATTGAGATGACAGAGCTTAAAAAAACCACTATAGGCATCACCTGGAGAGAGTCTACAATCATCATCATCATCATCATCATCATTATCGTCATCAAGCTCCTGCACACATGACAGTCAGAAACTCATCCACGAGGTAACCTGGATAACATTACTGACTACTTATGTTCATCTAGTAACATTCATTTATGTTATTATTCTTATCACTTTATTCAATTTGCTATTGCGTCAGTCATCTGTGTTTGTATCTGTGTGCATCATACTGATGTGTGTGTTGTACCTTGAAGATAAAGAAGTGGTCTGTGTAACTGGCACCAAACACAAACCTAGACCCAACATCTGTGAATGACATGAATTTCTGCATGGAGAAGATATCTAATTGTTAGCAACAGAAACAGAACATTTAGATACAATTGATTGTATCTCTTTCATGTAACATTTCATTATCTGCACTTTAAAAGTTAAGGATGGATGCAACGAGAATGTTTGTGAATGCTAAAAATAACGGTAGATTTCTATCCTGGCAGAGTAGGAAATAAAATGAAGGACACAAGGAAACAAAACAAAGAAACAAAAGAAGTACACAAGGAAATTAAACAAGGAAACAGATAAAAAGGGAAAGAAACAAGGAAACCAAATAAATCAAGAAACAAAAGAAGGAAACATGGGAAAAAAAGAAACAAAAAGAAGCAAGGCAAGGAAAATGAAAGAAGGAAATGAAAGAAGGAAATAAAAACAAGGACAATACACTGAAAAAAATACATGTTTGTATTTGTGTGTATGTGTGTTTGTGTTGCGTACCTCTGCTTGTTTTCCAAGCCACTGCAGTGCACTTAAACCAAAAGTGGTCCTGAGGATCAGCAGACCAAAGATGAACTGTAGCCCGACCCCCCATAGCAAAGTTTGCCAAGACCACTGCAACACACATGTACAATAGTATAATGATAAAAAAAATATTTTATCAGAGAGAGAGTGTGTGTGTGTGTGTGTGTGTCCATTACCCTAAATGGGTGTTTGGAGAAGAGCAGCATTAAGAAGATTAAGAGCAGCAAACCAAAGAAAGACACAAGCTGTCTGGTCCCTCGCTGGGCTGTGTCCAGTGCTAACCAACACACCATGGCCAACAGCAGTAATGCGTATATTATCCTGGCAGAGGAAGAAAGATGAATATCTATTAGAAAATTCCCCAAATTGGGGTAGGGGTAAACTGTATGACATAATTAAGTCAAGGGCAACCACTTGTCTCCAGCTCTATTTAACACTCACTATGTTAATGACCTAGCAGTAATGCTGGAGCAATCTGGAGCCCCTCACCTAACCCTTAACAATAATAACTTTTATCTCGCAGTGAATGCACTGAAAAAAAATGTAGAGCATTTTGTGTAATTATAAGAACATTTTTATAAAATAGACGTAGATATATGTATACATATATATAATTGACAGTGTAATACAACCTACATTAACATTAAAAACACTTACATTTTAATAACATCTCAAAATGAGCCCCTAAGACACATTTTAGACACTATAAACCCAAGGACTGAACCCTCCAAAGACTCCCTTCTTCTTGTTGGTCCTGAGACTTACTGATAAAATAACACCCAATACTGTTCAACCTCACACCAGCACTGCTTTATAACCACTAAACACGAATAAACCCAATAATTAAGTGAATTATTAATTAATTAAACACAATATGCCTATACTGAACACTGGACGAATCAAACCAAAACACAAAACAAACTTAATTGCTTTACTGTAAATACATTTGTATCAGGTAATTAATTAAATGCACTTCAAAGAACAACAGTGAAAAAGAAAGGATTCAATTAGGAGAGCAAACATAGCTGCACAATATGTAACTGCGTGTCACAAATGAAGGCACACATCGTTGTTGCATTTGATAGGAATTGTACCCTTTATGAATTATATTTATATTTTTCTTTATACTTTAATATTGTTCCTGATATGCATGCCATTAAAGCATATTGAATTGAATCTGTAATATGTGTAATATATTGGCAAGTATGTTGTAAAGAAGTTATAGGATGAAAGACAGACGACTCAGCTGGTGCATTGTTAAGGAGAGGATTACACTGTGTAGATAGCCTCTCAGTCAACAACGTTTTTAAGATGGTGCCAGTTAGTAGACAAATTTTGTAGTTTTTTCCTGTAACACTTGAGTCAAGGACATTAGACCATTTATATCTGCTGTGAAAAAGGTCTATTCTGTGTGGGTTCATATAAAAACAGTGATTATTACACTTTTTCTTACTTTTTTATCATGGTATGGTTTGTACACAGACATTCAGTACATAGGTTATAATAACAAACCATGGTCAAAATAACATAAAAGCAGTATAAAATATATTTCTAAAAAATAAATATAACAATTAAATATAAAAATCAGCCACAGACGAAACGCCAAAGACCGATTTGTTCCAACCCTTAAATGTGGAAGATGAAGACTTGTCGCATACGAAACCAAGACAGATTCAGCCTTTAATGGCTACAGGAAAAGAAGAGAGTCTTTGTTTCAAGCATGTTGCAGTTGCAGTGCAGTGGGTGAAGCTGAGAATCTTTAACCCCATCGGTTACATCTTTATCGAACACAATTTGTTACATTATTTTTATATTGTTATAACATTTGTTATATTGTGTGTATCTGCTTCACCTTTATACTGAGGTAACTGCCACTTAAGTGCCCTTGAACTAGTGCAATTGCCTTTATTTTATGTGCACTGTGGTACACAGCAATTCTTCTAATACTTTGCCATCAGTTGCTCTTGTTTCCTTTATCCTGCCCTGTTTGAATTCAGTGCTCATGCTGATTTCACAAACACAGATTTCCTCGGTATGAGGACATTGTTGTTGCCAAGAGACAGAAAACCCCTTAGACTGTCTGAACTGTCTTGCACATTACGTACATTAGTTACAGATACTAAGAAAGGATTTTTGCAGATGGCTCGGTTGATCGTTTTTTCCCAGTTTCCTTAGAATGGAAAGTAAACTTCCTGAATTCCTTTGGGAAGGAAGGTGCACATCTAAATAGGAAAACTGAAACAGGATTTGAACAGTGTCTCATTTCTCACCATCTCATCCTAAACCAGTTTTTGCTGAGAAGGTCTCTGATAGGATGGAGCTCCTCCCACACCCGGTCGCCATAGCGTCTCACCATCCAATCCCAGACCAGGAAGAATACGGTTACCAAGGAGATGACCAGCAGCACGACAGCCCGGTGGAAGTTCAGGACACATGCCGCTATCACTATGGCAACGGAGCCTCAAACAATATCAGCATTAATATGAATTATATCCCACTGAGGTGGCATCATTGTACACCTCTTTGATTGAAACAATTCAAATTTATTTTATTTATTTTCTCTTTTTCATCATCCAGTTAAAGACAGAAGTTATCTCTAGAATTACTGTGACACAGAGACCAAGTGCACAGCTGAAAAGAAACAGATGTTTAAGAAGACTTATCACTGCATCATCTAAATGCTACATGTAAAACAAATACATCAAGATTTAAAAGTGTCAAGGCTTGTGAACAGTTAAGAGGGCCATTAAAATCTCTCTTGTTTCAGTTTTTTTTTATCTTTTGTTTTCCCGTCTTAAGTCTTCAAATGATACAATTTGTTTTGATCTGTAAACTTGAATGTGGTGGGAACTGTAGACGTGTTATTGGTGTTTCACAGTCCTAATTCATCAGACAGACTTTGTCATTATCAGATAGACTTGAGAGCAACATAACAATTAAATAAATAAATTGATTATATTTTGATCAATTTCGTAAAAGTGCTACAGGAGGCGTCATCGTGTGTGTGTGTGTGTGTGCGGCGCGCACTCTTGTGCCTATGTAGTCTCGACAGTACCACAACAAACACACATATTCCACATGTGTTCTGATAAACCATGGCTTCATCTTCTCTCTCTCTCTCACACACACACACACACACACACAGGCATGCTCATATCAATATGCTCCAGGCACAGAGCATGTACGTCCACTATAACCAGCACAGCTAGTTTGCAAAGATAAATTAAACAGCCCTTTACAAGCCTTCATGCAGAGTGAAAGTCCTAAAGCAAGACTAGAAATTGATTTTTCAGTATATGTAGATGTGTACGTAGATGTGGATGGGAAATCAAAACACAGAAAATCAATTGTACAGAACAGTGGACACACTGTCTCCAATATAGTCTCAATGTTAATGAGAAAAAGTTTCACTGTGATACAGAGATTAGGGTCCTGAGTTACACTTTAACAGATACTAACAAAGGTACTTTACCTGCAGCTAAAACCAGGTGTATAATCAGTCGGATTTGGTCTCTGTGCTTTGCCAAGTAGCCCTGGAATGCCTCTATTTTCTTCTCTAGCAAGCTAGGCACACAGAAAGGAGGCAGATAAGGGGATAGATAAGACATAAAATGTTGGCTGATGATTCAGCCGAAACTGAGAAAAATCCAACATGAACAGCGTGTGTCTGGCAAAAAACAAAAATACTACCTTTTCTTCTGTTGTTCTGTCTTTATGTGTTCATCGTCTACATCTTCAATGTGCATCGGATCCTGCTCCTGCAGACACACACACACACACGTGGCTTGAGGATAAATAACACTGAGTTGCTTGCACAATGACACTTATTTAGAACCTAAAGGCAAACTGGTGACGTGAAGGAGAGCTTCTTGTGTACACTGAGCACCTGTGTCTCTGCTTGTACAGGTTTATGTCCAACTGAAGGTGTGAAACAGTCTACTTATCCTACTGAGACTGTACCCAAAGAATAACAAACTG